GGTCCACATCATCCTGATTTTGTGATTGTTTTGAGATTCATTCTAGGATTCTACACTAGCACCGGCGCACGCTAACATTCAATTGTGGGGTACATGCTTTGTTGATTATTGAATTGGTTATATCCCAATTGGGCTAGTAGTGCATTGAAAGCTTTCATTCTTGATAAAGGTGGATAACAACCCCTTTTCATTGAGTAGCCAGGATTCTTGCCTCATTAAGCAGTGAACTTCTCACGCCAAAAGGTGGAGGGCCCAAACTATAGGTTAATACTTGATCAAAAAAAAAAAAAAAAGAAGAAGAAGAAAAGAAGTTGCAAAAGCAATAAAAGTGAGGACTTCTCCCAAAAGGCGAGAAGTGGGAAATGATTAGATGGTTGTTGTCTTGATTTGTAGCCTAGTTGATTTGAGTTTGTAAGTTCGTAGGGGTGTCTTAACACCTAATGTCCTAAAGCCATCTGGTTTGGGAGTCATTGACCTAAAGCTCGCTACATGAATCTTCTTGGAAAGCTTAAGAGATCAACACATTACACAATACTTCCATCTTTGATCCTCAATAAATAAAATAAAATAAAATAAAAAATAGAGTGAAAAAAATAAGCGCACCTAGAATAATAAAGCTTTAATAAAAGGTCCACTCTCTTATCTTGATAATCGATACTAGATTTGTGTGCTAGTTTGAGGGTAAGGATGTAATTACTTCTCTAGTTGGCTAAGATAGCAACACACTTGATGCCGGACCTTTCACATGGATTCTAGACTTGTTTCGATTTTCATGATCATTTTCTTGATGTGTGGAGGACCATGCTTGCTTGCTTGATATTGAAATTTTAGAAGATTGCTTAGAAACGGTTGAAAAATTGCATACTTGAGGTAGTTTTCTCCCAATGCTTGTTTGCAATAGTGGTGCCTCTTTTGAAAGAATGAGCTTAATGTTTGTGGGTACCATTTCTGGAAACCCTGACGAGACTTTACTCGTCCACTAGGGGTAACCTAGGGGTTTAAAAGGCTTGTTACATATGCTAAATGCAATCGTGTTCCCTACGAAAATGGTGTTATCATTTTACTTGCTTTCTAGTTTATACTTGTTTAGTTATTTATTTCATTCCTTTCCTTCTTAGTTCATTACTAGGGACTAGCAATATTTAAGTTTGGGAGTGTGATGAGCACTGAAAAGTGCGCATTTAAACCCGTTAAACTTAAGCATTCTAGTACCTTTATCTATCTTACTTTGCCGTTTTAGACTTATTACGTGTTATTTATATTTTCAGGCATTAATCCCAAAATTGAGCTAACTCAGCCAAATAAAAACTTAATTGAAGCAATCCTGAGATAAACCAAATGAGGGAGCAAAGTGGAGAAAGAAAGGAGCAAAAAGGAATCAAAGTTGTGCAGCTGAAAAGTTCGATCGATCCAACTTAGAGTTCTATGATCGATCACAGTACTTCTCGATAGATCCAACCTTGGCCTATGCTGAAATTCCAAGTTCGATCTATCCAACATCACCTTCGATCGATCGAACCCTATTTTGTCCTATTCAAATGATTGATCTTATCCACAGCTGTAGGCCTACCAACCACTTTTGTCCTTTTCCCCATAAATATCTCAGCCTTGTCCTTATCCGGAGGAGTCAGACCACTTCGATCGATCCAAGATGCAGTTCGATCGATCGAACCCATCTTCGATCGATCCAAGTTAAGGTTCGATCGATCGAACTTCCTCAAACGAGAAAAAGTTAAAGTCCAGCTCATTTATTCCGTCCTTCACCCAATCATTGAAGAATATGCCTTGCACGACCACAGCTCATTATAGGGTGTATTTGACCTACCTATATAAGGAATATGATACACTTTTTGGAGAGGAGTCTAGAGTCTCTTGTCACACATTGAAAATCATCTTGGAGGCTATTCTTGGAGAGGAAGAAGGGAGGAAGCTAGAGCAACCATTGGAGGAGATCTTCACCAACTAGGAGCAGTCATGGAGTTAGCCCTTGAGGGTTGGATCATCACTACCATGAGTGGCTAGACATCTTCTTGGGGCTAGAGTTAGCCCCAAGCATGCTTTCTTTACCTAATCTTGTGTAATTTTGAGGGATTTGTGTTGTAATGCATATTTTGATTCTTGAACTTATGAAGATCTTGATTATTCATTGAGTTCTATGGATTAATGCTTCTAATTGATCATTTTCTCTATCTATATGTCTATGTATGCTAAAGTAGATGCTCACATCTAGATTTAATGTTATTGATACATGTCTATGTGTATTAATGCCTTTAATCTTGAGATTGCCAAAATATGAAGTTCTTAATGTAATGCTCTTGTTATGTCTCTAGATGGTTCATACTTATTCCTTGATGGATTGTGTTTCTCTTTTAAGTAGTGTAGCGTTAGTTGGGGAAACAATTCATGCTTGTTCTTTGATGTTCCATGCTTTTGAATGTAAGAAGCATATGCTCTAATATTGTGGTGTAATGGAATTTTGAGATTAATGAAGGATTAATGATTAGTTATGATATGTTGTATCTTTCACATGTGTTTAGACAATTTATTCCTCTCCCAATAGATATTTTGTACCTCTCACATGATGATTAGATAATGCATGTTTAATTAAGTCATCCTTATGGATTGCTTGGACTATGAGCTTAATGAAAGGTTCAATGACTTGAATTGTTATTTTGTTATCTTCACATGATGTCTAGACCATATATTCCTCTACCAATAGATGTATTGTGGCCTCACACATGTTGATTGAGACAATTTGCACTTGTTGAGTCACCCTTACCAATTGAATGTCTTTTACACACACAACATTGTTGCAACACATTTATTTCCCTCATTAGTCACTTGATTATGGTTTAGAATAGTATTGTTTGGTGGTGATCTCTACACCCCAAGACCTTTCCTTCTTACTTACTCTTTATCTTATTGCATTACTTTATTATAGTTTAGCTCATTTAGTATAATCAACCAATCATTCAACAATTGTGTGATCACTCGACCTACTAACCTTAATTACCATAGTTTCATGATTCGATACACCATCAAATCCCTTGGGACGATCCCTACTCGCCCTATCTATATTTTATATAAAGAAAGGTAGTAGTGGCTTTCTATAAATGTAAAACTTGGCCACCTCCTAAATTCACACACAACTTTCAAGCTTTGTTGGTTATGGTGACTCCATCAAGGAAACCAACAACATGGATTTCTTATGGATTGATAGGATATGACTTTAAATATATTTTTATGGTACCGCGATATGAGCTTGAGTCTCAGAATCGACGGTTAGGGAGCGTATATGTAATAGGACGCGTAGCTGGCTATGCTGGTTGAGGTGTACCCTATTAGGCTTAGGTAGTCATGCCCACTCAGTTGCGTTTTGCATGTTACTTCTATTCTGGTTGAGACCCGTATCATAGTCCAGTGAGAGTCCATAGTATAGATATATATGTATATATATATAGACATGGATTATATAGTTATTGTTGAGTTGGTTAGAGTGTATATACATATCGAGTCTCTGCTTGGATTATAGTAGGATAGAACTTGTTTGTGGGCCTGACCCACTCCTATTTTTCAGGTGTACGTCAGTTTTAGGCTTGAGCTTGTTCGTGCTGAGCAGAGGCGACCACTCATTCTTCCAACGATGTAGGAGCTCTATTCATACGGTTTCCTTTTAGTTTTTCAGCTCAGTTTGGTTTTCTAATTAGGGGTCCACATGATGGATTCCTGAGTTGTACCCTTGGAGGTTTTGGAGTTGGATTATTATTATCTGGGATTTTAAGTATTTAATTTTAAATGATTTTATATTTTAGATTTCTTTCAGCTTAAACTATTATTTCTTAAATTCAACTTGTATTCTGTGTTCGTTATAAAATATTAATTGTCTGATATCCCTCGGGTTTGGACCTGAACTTGATCAACCTGTGTCTCGGATCCGAGGGGTATCACACCTGGAGACCTAGATATGTGGCAAACCTATGATTAAAGTAGAAGAATTACTCTTTATAATATGTTTGGGAAATAAATATGTGGCAATACTTAGAATTAAAGTGAGAGAATTATTCTTTAGAATATATTTTGGACCCAATTTGAATCTAAACTACTCCGTTTGTAGTATTTTGACCGTTATACCATCCATCCGTTCTATCATTTCTCCTCTTTTTTTATTCATTTTTTCATCCCTTGTGTCAAGATAGATTGTTGATGTTAGAATTTAATTGTCAAATTCTGATAACATTGAATTATTGTCATTTTACAAAATCTAATAATGTTTTAGTAGCACTAGTCATGATAAAGTTTTATCACATTAGAATTCCATTCTTTTTAGATGACAAGGATAAATATCACGAAGACACATTAATATAATTTATATTCTTAGTCATTAATAGGATAAAAGTGTTCCTTGGATGAAAAATTCATAATGTGATGCACCATTTGAAGGAAATACTATTCAAATTATAGTCTCAAACTTTGATATTAAATTAAATCTAATTTATATTTCTTTATTTTGACTAAACAAAACTTACACATTGAATTTGCTTGTATAATTATCACGAAGGACTATATAACTCAATAATAATAAAGTAAAAGGTTGAAGGTCAAAGTCCTACATAATTACAGTGTTAGTTTTTTTTGTTAAGGTTAAAAATAAATAAATTTAGCTTGTATAATTGGATTCTTAAAATACAGTGAAATTATTATCATTATTATTACTACTATTTATTATGGTAGGATTGTTTTAACATAAAGATTAATTTTTGTAGCATTATTCTTGTAATTAATGTATGTTAATTTATTAAAGAGAAGTTCATGAGCTGGAGTTCATGGAAGCCTTAATATACTAATTTATTAAAGAGAAGTTCCTGAGCTCCAAATTCGCGGAAGCCTTTAAATTTAATTAATCAAACGATATGGGGGCACTGAACAGGCGTCGAAAATTTAGGGGCTGTCCTTTCAGCGCGCCTTTTTAGGCTACGGCTCCACGCAATTGTGCATATCCCATTAGATACACTGTCGCCGATTTGATACATCACGTATCTCACCGTCATATCCAACGGTGTACAACTCGCTACACGTAAGTCACCGTACGGTTGAGCCCATTTCATCAATCTCGCACCTCTCTCTGCTACATTTCATTTCCCTCTCAAACCTTCACACTTCTGTGTGTCCTCTCTCTCTCTATCTCCTCTGTCTCATGCAAACACAGCAAAACCCTTGAGTTCTTGTGTGAGAAGCCATGGACGTTGTTCAGGTGAAGCAAGAAGTGATAGAAGCTTCAATTCCTAAGGAGCCAAAGAAAAAACCAGAGGCTTCGAAGCCAATGTCTGTGATCGATCTCAGTTCCAGCGATTCCGATTCTGATTCGTCCGATGATTCTTCCTCTGACGACGACGTTGACGTGCTTGGACTCATCGGGAAGAGGACTAGGGTTTCGAACGGCGCCGGAGGAGGTTCGTCGAAGAAGAAGAAGAAATTGGCTGAGTTAGGAGCGGCTTTGCCGGTCGGATTTCTGGATCCTCTGCCGCGCAAGGAGGCGGTCACGCCGCCACCGCCACTGCCGCAACAGACGCCGCTCGTTCCGAGGCCTCAATCAACGCCCATTGTGAATGCGAGTACGAACAAGCAGTTCTGGAAGGCCGGTGATTACGAAGGAACTGCGTGTGGAGATTGGGATAACTCGTCAGGTAATATTGTTATGTATGCATTTATTTCTTTATTGTTTGTATTAATAGGTAATTATTAATTGGTTAATTGATTTTGTTGTTTCGATTTTGTTGAGTTCTTACGTTTGTTGAGGTTCTACAATCTTGTGCTTCTATTACACAATTTAAAGTTCTTAATGTCTAGGCCTAGGGTTAATATATTTGTGGGTTTTGACGGAAAAGAGATTTACCGCGCTTTCTAATGTGTTTGTATTTAATACCATGTCTTCGATCCTAACGTTTGGACCTCAGGATTTATGTTTGTGGATTTTGATGGAAAAGAGATTTATTCCTTTTTAATGTCTTCTAATGTATTTAATACTTCTTTGGATGTTTAGGAAGATAATAACATTTTGAATTTATGACAATCACTGCACATAATTTTTTTGCCCCTTTTGGTCTTTATTTGGTATTTTTTAGGGTTCTTCAAGGGTTGGGTCATCAGAAGAGTAAAATTGGGTTGCATTTGGAGATCAGTGTCATTCTTATTGGTTTGCATGGGTGGTAATTTATGGGAAGACTTTGCAAAGAGCGAAGCTCCCTTCACCCAAATAGAAGGTTCTACTTAGATCTTTGTATGTGTAACTTGTGGGCATGAGTGACCTGTGGTCCAATTGTTCCTTCTCACTTTTGGCTCGGACGTTCATTATTTAGGTTGAGTACTTCTTGTGTAGTACGCAAATTTTTTATGAATCACTTGCATTGGCTTGGGTGGTGAAGTTCCATTTGGAGTTTGTAATTAAACATGGTTGGTAGCTTAATATGTATAAAATTAGATATTATGGCTATATTTGAAAATTAAGAACATATAATGGCTTATCTTGGTTAAGGTAGTTGGCCTATAGGATTCTGTAGATTTTGAAGTCTTATGTAGACTTCGAAGTTTTTTGTCTTATGTGTTCATGTGTATACGTATAAAAAGAAAGAGAGAGACTCTAAATCTTTACTGTTCTCATAGCTGAGAATGGCATATGGAAGAGGAGAGAAATGCTTCAAGCATATCTTGTGGGTAAGTTCAACATAGAGTTGGGTTCTCTAGACTATGTTGAAACTTATTCATCGTAGGCATGGAAGGTCGAGTGTCATGTTGGTGTATCTCTATTACCGGATTCCTTGCTGTTATTTCGATTTCCATCCTACAAGGAGGTCATTGGGGTTGTAATGGAGCGATCAATCTTGTCGTGCGGTTGCCATTGAAATTATTGAATTTACAGTTTCACCAATCGTTTGAAATCATCGATAATGTGTGTTGGGAGAGGGAAGAAAAAGGGGGGGGGGGTGGCTTAAGGATGTGGATGCTGATGAGAGATTGGATGCTGGATAAAATATTCTCATAGTGAAATATGGTGGTGAAATTTCAAATATATTATCGTGGTGAATGACCGGTTTGTGCTACTGAGTGGTGTTAGCAGAGGAAAAGTTACTGGAGCTGGTTCTGTTGATGGCGTCCATAGTTGGCAGAGATGAAATATCATTGATATTGGAGGATGAATGGTGGCGAATGGGAGGAAATAACAGAAAAGTTGTGGAACTTGAAAGCACATCTCAAATACCTCGGTCAAATAACAGTCAAGCTTTGATGAGCAGTTATGGCAAGTTTGAAGCTTGGTTGCTAAGAGAGCCAGATTCTTACCATTTTCTTTTTTGTGATCTTTGACAATTTTAAACAAGTGATAAGCATAAAAGGATTGGATAAAAAGAAAATTTCTTTGACAAATTCCATATAGAAACCTTCTATTTTAATGTTTTTTACCTTCATATTATTAAAGCTTTCAAAGAATTTCACATACTTCATATTTTAATTCATTTTTTTAAAAAACTTTTAAAGAACCCTTTTATCAGGCATGTGTCCGTGGTGGTTCAACTACGAGTCCTTAGGGAAAATATTCAGTCTCGTTTGTTTTGGTGTGTCCGATATGTGTATTATACTCATCCAGAGTACTTTGATAAATAGCCCTTGGACTCATCTAGAGTACTCAGTCTCTCCCTTTTCTACCAACCTATTAACAAGGGTAGATAAAGCTTACTTGCTTTCTTATGATGAGTTTAGAAGAGATGCAAGTGTGAGGAGGTTACATGGGTTTGTTTCAAATTCGTCTTTTTGTCCATTAATTGGGCTGGATGTAGGATAAGTCTGAGCTTTAAATTAAGTTTTATCGCACCCTCGGTAGCTCCATTGGCAAGCGGGAGTAATTTTTCTGGTTCCAAACACTGCCTTCACACCAAAATACAAGCACAATATGGTCAAAAGAACCAATTTATTCAGAATCTTGTTAAGAACATATTGCAAAAAAAACTTAGAAAGCTGTTTACGAAGATACAGACTTGGGAAAGAGGAATTATGTGAAGGAAAATTCGGTTGAGACCTTAGGACATAAGAGTTGTGGGAGGTTGTAAACCAAAAAGTACCCAAAAAAAAAAAAAAAAATAAAAAATAAAAAAATAATGCACGAATTAATTGTCGACAAACTTGTATTCTTCTGTACAATAATTTTCATTATAATTGGACAAAAGCTCCTTTAATGGTTATAAATACTTGCTTATAGCCAGTCTAGACTCTAGGGTAATTGAGATAGTAAACAAAGAAAGAAAAATAAAGTTCAGCCTTGACAATCCATTCAAGGTTTCATATAGGTCACCATCTTTCTTATATGATGAGTAATCAATCAAGGAGTAGTTTATTAACTATCAACTAACCTGATGTATTTGAATAATATGAGACTGATGAACAACCAAATCTTTATAATAGAGTTTCTGAAGGTCTTCTTTTTTGAAACGACAATCAGTTGCTTCAAAAGCTGTATGAGTGACAAATCAATTGAATGACCGCCAGTATTGCCAGTAGTGGTCAATATTCATCTACTCTCCCTTTTTTTTTTTTGATAAGTATATTCATCTACTCTCTCTTATGCAATGGTTATTGATATAATAATAGTAAAACATTGGGGGTCTTTGGCATGCGTTGCTCGCCATTGCATACCAAAGCGTTGACATTGATTTTGTTCACAAAAAAACCAAAGTCAACATATCTTCGGAGTTGCTGATTTCAGATCATTCCATGCTATTTTCTTTGGTGGGGATGCCATGAAGGTGCCATCATTTTTGCTGATACTTGCCTAAACATTTAAAGTATTATTTGTTTTTTATGTAACATATAAAATATTATTGCTTTTACAATATGCGTACATTTAACTATTTATTGCTGATATCGGTAAATTATGAAATTATTTTTAATCAACCTCCTAGAGCAACTGTTGTATATATTTTTTCTGATTCAAATTTGTAGGTGGTATGGATCATGTCAGAGTTCATCCGAAGTTCCTACACTCCAATGCAACCAGCCATAAATGGGTTCTTGGCGGTAAAGTTGCTCTTCCTATCTGCAAGACCTTGATTTATTTATTTTATTTTATATATACTTAAATGTGCGACATTGAATACCTTTTTGTTGAGTTTAATAAGAGTTCCTAGTTCTTTATCTTCCTGTTCTCAATGTAAATCTACTCCCTGCAGGTTTTGCTGAGCTTTTGGACAATTCATTGGACGAGGTATTTTTTTTCCCCCTTAAGACATTCAAAACACAATTTCTTTATCCAATAATGTGAATATAAGTTTTAGTAGTATAAACTGATATTTTTGTTTTGGTTTCAGGTATGCAATGGAGCTACATATGTCAACATAGATATGCTAAATAATAAGAAAGATGGTAGCAAAATGTTGCTGATTGAAGGTATTTTATTTATTATATGGTTCCTGTGGATTATGGAACTCTCTTCATTTCTCTTTCTTTTTCATGCTTCCTCTTAGTTGGTGGATTACAAAGTGACAGCTGATTCAATACTCTAAGCCTTTCTCTCTCTCTCTCTAAATTATGTTTTTGTCTCTCTATGTCTTCAAGAAACTAAGTGGGTAGGTGCAAAAGCTAGAGAAACTGAAGGATATAAACTATATTACACCATAAAGGATAGACATAGAAATTCAGTAGGGATAATAATTAATAAGAATATAGGATAACATTAGTAAAGCTTGTATTAGGAGGAAATGTAGTTAATATAGTTAGCGCTTATGCACCACAAGTAGGACTAGATGAAAATATTTTTTAAAGCAGTTACAGAGTGCCCGCTCGTGTGTCAATCTGTTGATAATACAATTTTGGAAACATATGGACGAATTAATGTAAGGGATACCTGAAGAAGAAAGTGTATACAGGAGAAGATTTGAATTGTCATATGGTAGTATAGAGTGGAGGATATGAGATGGTACATGGTGGACATGGATTTGTTGGTAGATGTGATGCTGGGGAGGCTATCTTAGATTTTGCAGTAACATATAATCTTATAATTAGGAATACCTATTTTAAAAAGAAAGTTGTATGCTTAAAAATTGGATCAAATATGAGTCGAAGGTAGATTGATTAACAAGCAAAGATTTTAAGGTTATCCCCGGAGAGAGTTTAACATCACACCATAGGCATCTTGTTGTGTGTATATATATATATATATATATATATGGACAGCCTAAAAGGAAAAGGAGAATTATAAACCCAAGAACCAAGTGGTGGAATTTAAGAGGCGAGAAAGTAGAATTATTTAAGAATATAGTGACGTTAGAGATAACTTATTTTTCTATAGGAGCAAGGAGGGGGAGGTTAGAAATGCCATAAGGAAAGATGAAATCAAGAAGGGCTTTACGACCCGATGGTGTTCCTATTGAGGTTTGGAAGTGTCTAGGAGAAGTTGGATTGTCTTGGTTAACAAATTTTTTTAATATGATAATAACAACTAAGAGGATGCTTGATGAATGGCGTAAAAGTATTGTAATTCTGTTATATAAAATAAAGGGGATGCACAGATTTGTAATAAAGATCGTGATATTAAATTAATGAGTCATATTATGACACTTTGGGAGAGAGTGATTGAACAACGCCTAAGACGAGAGATTGAAGTGTCGAAGAATGGCAACTTAAAATCTATCTGACAGATTTAGTCTTTCTTATAGTAGGAGTGGCCATGTTTAAGTCATGCTTGGTAATTCTAGATTTGGAATATGATGAGTTGATTGTCCAGATGTTTTGGCACTTTCTAAAAGAGATAAGAGATTTTCATCAGGACAATATCTTTAAATCCATGGAGACTATAATGTCTCTTGTACTAGAAGAAAGTGATACTATTTTGCAAGAAATATTTGATACTCTTTTAGCCAATGTTAATGAAGATAATGTGGAAACTCAAAGACTAGGCGAGCAATTACTCAACAACAATGGGCTTGTACTTCAACCTTACTTCCAGCAATTGACCAAGGAGAGTATGTTGATTACATCTTCAAATGCGGAAACTTTAGAGGGCGAATTGTTACCTCTTGATATGTCTGAAGAGATTAAAGATAGCATGCTAAAGTTGTCTTCTCCTACAGAGTTCGCTACAAATGTTTATTGTATAGATTTATTCTTGGCAATAAAGTTACAGACGACTACAACTATTACTTTGGGAGCTGATATACATGGAAAATTCTAGTTGAGAAAACACTTGGATCTTATTGTTGTTTTGGGCCTAACCATTCTAAGTTCATTGTTGATTGCATTCTTTGTTGTCGATATTGTTGTTTTAAGTCTCCGAAGGAGAGTTCTCAACCAGGGAGAATTGATGGAGAATGGGACATGACTTTGAGCTTGAAGTGCACATGTTTTGCCTTTACTATTGACAGGTGCGGAGCTAGGAAAAAATATTTGGGGGGGCCAAATTAATTAATATAAAATCAAATTTAAAAAATAAAATAATATACTTATAATTTTTTTTAGTTCATTTTTAACGTTAAGAGCATGTGTTTATAGATGATATGAAAAGAAAATTAGAGCAAATTAAGAACAGTTGAGGTTTTCAAGTGTCATCATTATTTTTTTCTTCTCTCTAATTCATAACAAATAATATATATGTGTGTGTGACCGTGTGTGTATAAATAAAGTATTTTACAATAAGGATTATCATAATAATGGTTGTTATTATTATTTACTATATTTTGAATTTATTAAAGCAATGGGCTTATTCAAATTTGAAGGGTTATAAGTAATTTCATTTACAAACCATATCTATCAAAAAAAAAAAGTCCATTCACAAACCACATTCAATAATCATAAGGTAAACCATAAAAAGAATTTTTTTTAGAATTTGGAAAAGGAAAGATTTAATTTTTATATAAAAAATCACCATTAGTAACTATACTAATGGTTTTTTTTAATATTATATTTTGAATTTTTTGAAGTACGATGTTTATTCAAATTTGAAGGGTTATAAGTAATTTCTTTCCCAAATCACATTCAATAATCATAAGGTAAACCATAAATAGATTTTTTTTAGAATCTGGGAGAGATGAGCTTTAATTTCTATATAAAAATCACCATTAGTAATTATATTTAGTACCATAAATAGGGTTTTACAAAATTTTTGAAGAACCAACTTTATTTTTTAGAAAAATTACCATTAATAACTATAATTTAGTGCTATAAATAGATTTTATAATTTTTTTTTTTTGGGGGGGCAATTTAATTTTTATATAGAAAAATGACTATTAATATATATAATTTAGTACTACTACTACTAAAATTTTGCCAAAAATTTGGGGGGGCCATGGCCACCCCTGGCCCCCCTCTCCCTCCGCCCCTGACTATTGATGACATGGGAAAGATAGTTAGAAATAGGGAATTTTGTCCATTTATTATTATTATTATTATTTTGTATTCTTTGTTGTCGATATTTTTGTTTCAAGTCTCCGAAGGAGAGTTCTCAACCGGGGAGAATTGATGGAGAATGGGACATGACTTTGAGAGCTTGAAGTGCACGTGTTTCGCCTTTACTATTGATGATGTGGGAAAGATAGTTAGAAATAGGGAATTTTGTCCATTTATTATGATTTTGATAATGCTTCGATTTTAGGGCATTTTAGTAATTTAATATTTTAGGGTTTTATTTTTCGTAGTAGGATTTGATTAGGGTTCTTCCTTGATAGATGCATTGAGATGTGACCTGATGATATTGAATATTATCGAGATTGATTACAGCGATCTGTTCCATCTATTTCGTCTTCTTCTCCCTTATTCTTCTTCTTCTCTCTCATTCGATAACAGTTTTGATATTGAAGTGGCCCTACCCGTCATGCGTCTATGTGTTTCCTTTCTGCTAAATGATATATTCATTCTTGTATACAGTGTATTTCCTATGATCTCATCTGTTTCTATGGGCTTAAAAATCTTTATTTGTGTGTTCAGCTTGTATTTTCAGTTGCTAGGAGTTTACTCTTATCTTCATCTCTCTATGTCCTTTGTTTTTGGGTTAGTGCTAAGGTACCTTGCCTTTCCATAACTCTTTAATTGGCCAAGGATGTTCATTTAATATCTTTTATAGATGATGGTGGTGGGATGGATCCCGATAGGCTGCGACAATGCATGTCTCTTGGGTATTCCTTGAAAAGCAAAGTAGCAGATACTATTGGACAGTGTAAGTTACTGGTCTTATGAAGAGGATATATTTAATAGTAACAGTTGTTGGCTGCTTATTTTACTTTTGTAACTTCATATATCAATTTTTTGTATACCTTTTTTCAGATGGGAATGGTTTCAAGACGAGTACCATGAGGCTTGGAGCTGATGTTATTGTGTTCTCACGTTCCCCTGGAAAAAAAAGGTTCAGTTCTTTTCTTTAAATTTTAAAAGCACTCTTTTCATGTTATTTTTCCTGTCTTGATCTTAAAATGCCATCCTTCTTCAGCTTGTATTAAAAATATAGTTGCTCCAGGTTATTTAGCATTTAGCTGCTCACAAAAATTTCCTGCACATTTTCTCTTTGCACAAATGCAATTTAAGTTGACATTGGGGTTTTGTATAAAAGGTTTTCCTTAGTTTCCTTGTATCTATAAATAACTCAGCAATCCTCATTTAACCACAACATGGTGGCTAGATGAAAACTATTTTTCCATTTTTAGCTCTATCTACAACACTGTCTTTGTCAGATCGTTGGTATTAAATGAGTACACGTAATTTCGTTTTTTGTGAAATTATCCCTCAAACCTGTTACCTATCATCCTTGTAGTGCCTTCTACCTGTAGATCACTCTGTTTCATCTGTGCAGTTTCCATATTGTTGGATGTGATCAACCATCTAGATTTGACACTCCTGTCTTGACGTAAACCAATGTTACCCTTAGTTTCTCACGTTTATCTGCTTTTTGGCATGCATTTTTTACTGCAGTTTAGTTGTACTTTTATCGTTAAATGTTTATGTTATTAGGTTTTCATCTTACAAAGATATGCAATGTCGTATTGTATCAACCAAATGAATATAAGACCATGCCAAGTCGACCAGTGAGTCCTGTCTTACGAAGATCAAATGTCAGGTTCTGATGTCACTGTTGATGTGAAAACTGGGGCAACCCGGAACAGCGACCTTTCCTGCAAAACAAAGGGATGATGTCAGTTCGTATGGCACCGGTTTGGTCCTGGCTGAGGACTCTCCGACGATCAAGTCAGTAATCAGGAGGAGTTATATAGAGTCGTATTTAATGCATACAATTTTTCACATACCTCCTTTATTGACCGTGCTCGGGATCTTAGTGATGTCGATTGAGAGGATTGGGTTTATCTCTCCTAACCAATCTCCATATCTCGTCGCCCTTATCTCCTTTAAATTTAAATTTAAAATGAATCTAGAAATATCCAAGTCAAATAGTCAAAGCGGTTGTTTTTCCCTATCACTAACAAATCAATATTCAAGATTTTTGAGGCAATTCAATGGCAGCATACAGTTATTCGGCAAAACCTACTTGTCTGGGATTGGAACTACTTTAAAAAAATGTTTAATATTGAAAAATCCAGTGTTAAAACTTGGGACAAGCTCAATTGTCTTCTCTTTCTGGCCTTCATAGTCTTCTAGACTTGGTGGAAAGGTGCACTGCTGGATGCAATTCCTATTCATGAATCCTTCTTTCAATTATGTGGAACCAGACAGTTGAGACTTCTTCTGTCCTTGTATCTTCTTGTGATAATCAACCATCTCCATAATAGAGATGTTATGTGAATGCTGCTAAGAATTTCGTCATCACGCTGTCGATACGACGAATCCTCCAAAAACCACACGCCACCATTAAGCCAACCTTCTTTACGTTTCACCACTCGTTCTTGTGTGGCAAATAAAGTAAAAACTTGCAGAATATTTGGTCATATGCCTTTTACATAATGATATCACAAATCAGACTCGAATCCAGTTTGGTGTGTACTATCAAATCCGACTCCTTTTAATGAACAGCGTTCACTGAGGAGAAATGACTTTTGATGCAATGTTTTTGGGGCAATAACAGGCACCTCAAAGCCACCTTTATCAACTCTATATACCAAACCTGTTGGGGAGAATAACCTTCTTGAGATAATCAACCATCTCTGTAATAGAGATGTTATCTGAATGCTGCTAAGGATCTCGTCATCACACTGTCAATACAACCAATCCTCCAAAAACCACATGCTCAATTTTCGTAGAAATCACCTGACTTTAGAGCAGTGCCCCATTAAACCAAACCACCTTTATTTCGCACTATTTGTTTTTGTGTGGCAAATAAAGTAAAAACTTGCAGAATTTGTGGTCATAGGATTTTTACACATTGATGTCACAAATCACACTCGAACCCAGTTTGATGTATTTTATCTAATCCGACTCCATTTAGTGAAGAGCGTTCACCGAGGAGAAATGACTTTTGATGCGACATGTTTTGGGCAATAACAAGAACCTCTAAACACCTTTATCAACACTGTATGCCAAACCTGTAGAGGAGAATAACCTTCATATAATTTTGCACTAATCAATGTAATGGAATTTTTCAATGTTGACTGAGCATCTTTGCTTTGCAGGGCAGTTACTTTCGTAATTTTCTTATTAGAGTCTAACAAATATGCCAAGTGACATATTTTTAGTGGCCTGTTTAGCAACAATAACTACAGTTTATGTAATGCATAAAAAGTATGTTGGATGACTATCTAAGCAATATGTATGATCATTGCTGCTGCTCATGCATAAATGACATGGGAGTTATCCTTTTCTCATTGAAAAAACTTTACATGAGAATACTACAAATTAGATAGATACTATAGATTCAGGTTGACTACTCTTTGGCCTGTAATTTATGGTTTAGATAAGGTACCTCTAATTTTTTAGTTTTTATCTTTTTCTTTGGATTTTCATTTGCTAATGTTGTGTTTGTTTTGCGATTTATATATTTGTACTTCATTTTTAGTTGAATCATGGGGATATTGTTTTTTAGGCCCACACAGAGCATTGGATTGTTATCCTACACATTTTTAAAGAGCACCGGGAAAGAAGATATTGTAGTTCCCATGGTAATTATCTCAATTTTATGACATAGTAGTTCCCATTGTAATATCTTTGACCTGTATTTTTTTTTTTTCAAATTTATGCATTGAGTGGTACTTGTTTTAAATTGTACATCTAAGCATTATTTTTGACACAGGAAGCATGCATTTGCGATTAAATGATTCTTTGTTTGATAAGAGTTATTATTGGTTTTCATTGTGTTGTAAAGCATAAAACATAAGTGAAGAGATAAATAAAACAAGTAGAACACACAAATATTACGTGGCTCAGCCACTAGGGCCTACATCCATGGCACAAAGAGCCCAAAGGGCTACATCACTTTTATAATACTCTCTCAATTCATATACAAGGAGGAAATTATGAGAATGGAAAGAATTAGAAAATAGGAAACAAGGAGGATTTTTCTCCATTGATTCCTCTAGTAACACCAAATCTTCAATAATAGGAAACAACATCAATTATTGAAAGATTTTCCTCCATTAAATCTTCAATACATTGTTTTGCCTTCTTTCCACATGTTAATGTGTCCCAATATTCTCTTTACTTTCCAGGTTTAGAATTTGATTAGTTCATTTAAAACCAAGTGGAATTAAATTATATTTTCCCAAAATGCTGGTTGACATTTTTCATTTGGTTCTTTCTGGAATTCTTGTATATTAACCCATTCTTATGTCTGCTTTCTAATTGGGCATGCAATTTTTTGACCGATTCTTTTGACAACTCCAACTTGAATCAATTGGCCTCAGACATTTTAGATTGAAGTATTTAAATAGTTTGAGCCAACCCTTATTCTGGGATTGATACCTCTACAGGAAGAGAATAGAGATTAGTTGGAGGCAAATATCTAGAATTAATGGGACCAAGGGTTATTCTAATAAATATAAAGTTGGAGTTGTATTAGTTGATAAAAATCTAATTTTGGGATTTTCAGATATATATGTATATATATATATATATATTTTCCTGAATGATTTTCAGAAATGATTCTCTTTTTAGAAGGTTTTTGGTTGTAGATGTGTCTCCACATATAATGCTAGTTAGTTTGTGACACTCTTTGGGAGAATGAAGTGGAGTAGAATTTTGGTTCAGTAATGATTCTCTTGTTAAGAGGGATAAAGCCTTTAGCTCATTTTTGTTCAGAATGGCTTTGCCTCGAGACTTGGGAGACTCTATAGAGGATTTAGCCGGGATTTTGAAGTTTTTATTTTTATTTTGAAAATCTTATTAGATTGATCCCTGACTGCAGTAATTTCATAACCACTAGAAATCTCTATTCCCTATGTCTGTGACTAGCCTTTACATGGTTGTCATGGTGTTATCTAGCTTGTTTAAGGCCATTCATGAAACCTCTCATGCTAATGGAACTTTTGGTAGAGGCTTGGAAATTCCTGAGCATTCATAGTGGCTAATTAGGTCGTTAATAAATTAGAAAGGCCAAAAGGATGGACTTATTTTTCAAAGATCGACTTTAAGAAGGTATCTGACCATGTCGAATTGGCATTCCTTTTTGGTGTCTTAATGAATTAAGGTTTGAGGAAAAAGTAAGGGTCATACTGGTTTACCGTTCTCCTAGTGCCTTTGGGTCTTAAGTCCTATGTCAAGGTTTGATGACTGGTAGAGAGAGAAGAAAGAAAAAAAAGAAGAGTAAGGGTTGGATTATGGGGTGTTCAGCTTCCTTAAACTGCTGTTTATTATCACTGCATCTGAAAATTTGTTTTTGGTTTGAGCTAGGGGACCAAATACATTGATTTCAAATACATTGATTTCTTTGCGTGGTGTGCCTCTCACAATCTATTCTTACCCTTGACAATCTTGGGAGGAGACGACATATTGTGGTTAACTGGTGCTGTATGTGTAAGAAGAAGGAGGAATCCGTGAATCACCTTATTCTGCACTGCCCAGTGGCTAGAGATGTTTGGGCTATGTTTTTTTATAGCGTTTGGCATGTGTTGGGTGTTCCCGAGATCCAAAGTGGAGTTGATTGAGGCTTTGGAGAGGGTGTCTAGTGGAGAGCCGAGTCGGGGATATTTGGAGGGCCACTCCCCTTTGTTTATGGTGGGGCTTGTGGTGTGAGAGAAATAGGAGATCCTTCAAGGGTGAGGAAACACCTGTCGGTCGGCACCGGAGGCCCTTTCCCCTAGAAGTCTCTTTGGCGTTCTAAGGCCCCCCTTAAGGTAGCCTTCTTTGCTTGGACTTCCATCCTGGGTAAGATTTTAACCCAGGATAATTTAAGGAGGAATCAGGTGGTGATCAACCGATGTTATATGTGCTTGTGCGATGAGTAGACAGTTGATCACCTTCTTTTGCATTGCAGCATGGCCAGAGACTGTTGGGATTTGATGCTTGGATTATTTGGTGTGTTTTGGGTTATGCCTTGTTCCTCCAGAGGGTTGATTGAGGCTTGGAGAGGTGTATCTGTTGGGGCTCTTGTGCAGGATGCCTGGAGGGCTACGCCTCTTTGTATTTGGTGGTGCATTTGGCTCGAGAGAAATCAGAAATATTTTGAGGGAAAGGAGAAACCTATTTCTATGCTTAAGTTCTCTATTGTTTCCACTCTTTTTTGTTGGGTTTCAGGGAGAGATTATGGATCTATTGAGGATATTATTGTTTTTTAGGCCTCTTTGAAGGTTTGAGTGGCCTTTTGGCCCTTGTGTTTCTTTGGGATCCGCTCCCCTTTTGAGTGTTATCAATAAACTCTTACTTATCAAATTTTTTTTTTTTTTGGGTAAATAGGTGCAATTGTAAATCTTTGGGGCATCTTTTGGATTGTTGTGGATAGCTTAAAGCTATAGTAGTTGCCTTTGGCGTCTTGTGTATTCTTTTGGGAGTGCTCCCCTCTTGAGCGCCTTTAATGAAATCTTACTTATAAAAAAAAAATTGTTATGTCAACTTCAAACTGCAGGCATCAATTTGTTGAGTGACAAATTGGTAAGATTGGGTGTGTTCTTCATGGTGTAAAATCAGCTAGTGTCCTGTTACGTATTTTGGTGTCTTTTAGATGGCCACCCTAGGATTTTAGTTTTGGGGTCTTAAAGATTGAAAGGGGTTCTCGTTGCCTTCGATGGTGGAAGAAACCTTATTCTTATTTGGGTAGTGTTAATGTATTTCCAATCCTTAATTTTGAGATTTTTACTTCTTATTTACAATTTTCCATTGTGTTAGGATGAGGTATTGTGGTAGAGTTGATGCCTTCTTAAAGATATGTTTGTGTGGTTCTCTTAGCGAGGCTCTCTTCGGAATTTAGAGAATGGAATCAGATGGTCTGTTGGAAAATGATTTGGAGGCTGTGATGCCTATAAAGAAAATCATCATTGCCCTTGGAAGGCCATATTTGGCGATACCTTGAGTTCTCCCTTGATGGTAGAAAATATTTTTGCATATTTGGTTTTGGATCTCTAAAAATCTCTATATGGCTTTTTTGGGGTTGGGATGAAAAGATGTCGGCCTTTCTAAACTCTAGTAAGACAAACAAATTTATATAACACTTTTTTGGTACTTCTTCTTTATGTCTCTCTCTCTTCTTTTCATTTTTCTCTGGCTTGCACACTAACTATGCTCCCTGGCCTCACTCTGAGTTTTTTAGGCCTCTTTGAAGGTTTGAGTGGCCTTTTGGCCCTTGTGTTTCTTTGGGATCCGCTCCCCTTTTGAGTGTTATCAATAAACTCTTACTTATCAAATTTTTTTTTTTTTTGGGTAAATAGGTGCAATTGTAAATCTTTGGGGCATCTTTTGGATTGTTGTGGATAGCTTAAAGCTATAGTAGTTGCCTTTGGCGTCTTGTGTATTCTTTTGGGAGTGCTCCCCTCTTGAGCGCCTTTAATGAAATCTTACTTATAAAAAAAAAATTGTTATGTCAACTTCAAACTGCAGGCATCAATTTGTTGAGTGACAAATTGGTAAGATTGGGTGTGTTCTTCATGGTGTAAAATCAGCTAGTGTCCTGTTACGTATTTTGGTGTCTTTTAGATGGCCACCCTAGGATTTTAGTTTTGGGGTCTTAAAGATTGAAAGGGGTTCTCGTTGCCTTCGATGGTGGAAGAAACCTTATTCTTATTTGGGTAGTGTTAATGTATTTCCAATCCTTAATTTTGAGATTTTTACTTCTTATTTACAATTTTCCATTGTGTTAGGATGAGGTATTGTGGTAGAGTTGATGCCTTCTTAAAGATATGTTTGTGTGGTTCTCTTAGCGAGGCTCTCTTCGGAATTTAGAGAATGGAATCAGATGGTCTGTTGGAAAATGATTTGGAGGCTGTGATGCCTATAAAGAAAATCATCATTGCCCTTGGAAGGCCATATTTGGCGATACCTTGAGTTCTCCCTTGATGGTAGAAAATATTTTTGCATATTTGGTTTTGGATCTCTAAAAATCTCTATATGGCTTTTTTGGGGTTGGGATGAAAAGATGTCGGCCTTTCTAAACTCTAGTAAGACAAACAAATTTATATAACACTTTTTTGGTACTTCTTCTTTATGTCTCTCTCTCTTCTTTTCATTTTTCTCTGGCTTGCACACTAACTATGCTCCCTGGCCTCACTCTGAGACAAGTTATTTGAATACAAAATGTATCTTAAAGACATTTTAATTTTAACAATTTAAGATCAGGGTTTAGTAGTTTCAGGCAGAATAGATTGTTTTTAGTTCCACTTACATAGAATCTAAACGAGAAGCTATATCGACTCTCTTAACTTTTCGTATCCAATATCATACTCAATTTATATGCATTCCAAGTAGTTAAAGGAATCTAATCTGGCGATTCTTGCCAATTTAATCAATATTCTCTTATTGTTTCTTCATCTATGCCTGTTCATAATGCGGGTTTTGTTGGTTGCTATTTTCTGCATGTGGTGCTGATGTGGCACATTGGGAGCCCCTGATGGACCATCTTCACATCAATAACTCGACCCCTACCCCCCCACTGAGCCATTTTTTATTAACATAATGACACCGAGGCTTTAGCGCAGCCCATGCTATTATTATCTTTCCTTGTTCTTGACAATTTATTGTGTCTGAATTGCAATGTGAATTGTTCTTTGCGTTGTGGCCATCAAAGCTTTCGCAGCTTGCTGATGTGCAGTTGTCAATAAATTTTTTCTAATATCTGGATTGTGCAATGTTGTTCATGCATTTTTTTCTAGCTGATCTTGCAGAATACATTCTTCATTTTATGCTATTAATTTTTTTTTTTTTTGGGAAATGAAAAGCTTGATTATGAAAGAGGAGGACAAGAATGGAACAAGCTGATTCGATCATCTGCTGGTGATTGGAATAAAAATGTTGAAACAATCGTGCGATGGTCTCCATTTTCAAGTGAAGTAGATCTTATGCAACAGGTGATTCTTCTTTTAATGTGGTGGTTTAGAAAATTTTCTGGGGAGAATAGGTTATTGTTTGAAGAAGGAAGACACATCTATAAGTTATAAACTGTGATGTTGTGGCCTGAATTTGGTGTCGCGTTGCGTTGCGGCCGGCTTTTGACCTGACGACCTGTTGGATGAGCTTGGTGTGGGCCCAAGCCCACCAAATCGTACAATAAGAGAGTGAGTGGCGGAAACGTATAATCTCTGATTTTACATAGTGAAGACTTTCACTAGATCTCCACTGTGCACGTAGGCTTTGCCGAACCACGTATAAATCTGTGTGTTATTTGTGTGGTGTGTTTACTTTTCTGTCGTGTTTCATGATTGTTGCTTGGGTTCGCTGAATTTGTCGTAACATAAACACCTTGAGCACCTAAGCAGAATGCGCTATCTCCAGTTCATCTACTTCTGACAATAGAAACCACTGTACTTTGTTGGGTGTCTATGATGTTATCATTAATCCTTTGAATGTGATATAATATTTCAATTGCTCTTTTGGATCTGTTTCTTCATTTATTTATTTATTTTGTTGTTCTGTGTATTTTTGTGTATGTGTGTGTACAAATATCCAATATTTTTTTTGGTTAGGTATATCTCCAGTCTAGTCTTACTGTTTCTACACTATGCGTGGGCTGGACCAATAGTCGGTACTGGCCTTTTTAATCATATTTAAGTTGCAGATGACTGTTTTGCTGAAATTTGAAATGTTGATACATTTTTACCTCTTTCAAAGGTCTTCGTTGTTGAAAGTTGGTATCCTTTTGTTTTGTGCTGAGCTTTTGTTTTGCACTTGAAGTTTAATAATAGATCTATTCTATGGCAATCTACAGTTACATCTATAAGAGATCACTGCAAAGGACAGAGATACAGTAACCCCTCTTAATTCTTTATTGATTTTAATGAAGTACCCCACTTGGGAAGGCCCTAAGGATTTCTTGTGACCAAGAAGGAGGTTGTGAAGGGAATATTTATGGTATTTAGGATGAATAAGTTTTGTTGTGAACTCCACAGTCTCTCTTATATTTGACGACTTATATCCGTTTTCAAATTTTATATTCATGGTGTGCCTTCAAGTGTATTTTTTTTTTTTTTGTTATGTATTTGTATGTTTGTATTGAAACCTGATCCATTTGGGTGCTCATTTTTGAGTTGTATATCATTTCTTTAGTCTTTACATTAGGTTTATTTTTGGGCTTACGATTTGCTACCTCTATGTGACATGATTGGTGTTTTAAAGCACATCCTATTATTTTGTTATGATTAACTCTGCCCATGGTCTTTTTGTTTTATCATGTGTTACTTTGTAGTTTGATCAGATGAAAGATCATGGTACACGCATAATCATATACAACCTTTGGGAGGATGACCAAGGACAGTTGGAACTTGATTTTGACTCTGATCCATATGTAAGCCCTTTCCTTAAATTGACTTGCTGGCCCATTTTCTTTTCTTTATGATGGATACAATACAAGATGCTGTGTGCTAAATACTCTATAAGTTTAGGCTTACATGTGATGCGATTTTGCAGGACATCCAAATAAGAGGTGTCAACCGAGATGAGAAGAAAATACAAATGGCAAAACAGTTTCCCAACTCCAGACATTTCTTGACATATAGGCATTCATTTAGGGTAAATAATGATTTTTTTCTTTTCCTTTTTTTTTTTTTTTTTTTTCCTTTCTGCGCGATAGTGATGGTCAAATTTTTGGTCATGTTTTGTAATTGATGTTTTGATCTTTTTGACGTGTTAGGATTTCACTAAAACTTTACATAGCTTTTTCACATTTGTTTGACAGTTGCCTGTTGCAGACTTGCAATTATTAAGCCCTTAAGTTTTATTCCTATTTTATGTCAATGACACTATTTGATTTTCTTTTTCTTTTCCTTTTCTTCTTCTTATTCTTCTTTTTTGGCAATCTCCTGCGCCTGTTAGTTAAAATATATATTTTTTGATAAGTACCTGTTAGTTAAAATATGTAGCAAAAGAAGTAGAAAGGTTTGAGACTTTGAGTTAATTGATAATGACATTGAGAAATAACAGTGTGGCATGATTAATGACAAAGATTATCCAAGAGAGATGCAGTAATGAAAGAAAATGAAGACGGTCTGAAGGTGAAATAAGTGAAACCTACTTTGTCTGTAGGAATTACTGTTCACACTTTCTGATTTGCACCATGATCTCCATCATCTGCCTAACTTAAGTTTAACACCTTGTTCTTTTGCACTAGTGGTGCCATCCTGGAAAGAAGAGTGGTCTGTTAGGAAAATGATGTGTGTTAAATCAATAGTTAAGTAATCTGAACATGGATTCTATGACTCCAAACCTTGATCATGTTGGCTTACACTGTATCCTGGAAAAGCACAGGTCATGGGTTAAAGGGCTGGTTGGGAGAGGGTTAGTGTGGCTCTTATATGGCTGGGCTGGAAGTATGTTGTTGACACTAAACAATTAGATATGCCTTTGTTAGACTGAGTTTATGTTAGCAACATGAGATATTTGATTTCAAGCACAGTGAAAGGGGCTAGTGTACTTTTTTTTTTTTTTTTTTTGTCTGGATTTGTTGAGGATTTGGAGGCCCTTTTTGGCCTTGTGTTGTTTTTGAGGGACGCGTTCTCCTTTTGAACGCTTTGAATGAATTTTCTACTTATCCAAAAAAAAAAAAAAATTGTTTCTTGGTTGATATTGCAATCTGAAGTGGGATGTAAGTGGTTCTTGACTCTGAAGCACAAGTCTGATAATTCTTTAAGCAGTACAGAATCAGGTTGGTTAATGAGGTTTGACTTAAGACAGCTATTTTCAAGAAATATTTGTTCTAGGGAAGAATGGTATAAGATAAGATAAATGAAGGCCATGTGAAGGGAAATTAAGGCTACACGGAACAGTAAAATGGGTGACAATTGATATTTTGAGTCGAAGTGAAGTGGAAGTTTTCATGTAGACCATTAGTCTGTTAACACTATTTTTGGTGGTACAAGACAAGTTGGTTTCCAAGGATGTATTTTGTCACAATGTGTAAATTTTTGGGAAATATTTAGCTTTAATTGCAGTGTTAACACTATAGTAGTTTTTTTTAATAGTCAGCTGCATGTTTTGGATTGGTCTCTCTTTTGGTAGTAATTGAAAAATACCAACGGGCCAGTGGCTTAGCGATATCAGCCTCCTATCTTTCAAAGGGAGGTCAGGGGTTCAAGCCTCAGAAGAAATAAGTGTTTGTGAGTATCAATTAGGAAAAAAAAAAAAAATGAAAAATGCTGTTTTTCCTTAGAGACCACCAATAAGTGCATTTAATGTGTGTATTGACACTTTAGATTATTTTTTACTTAACAACAGGTTGAAAGGGAATCAAATGAATCTAGCATTATGTGGGCTAAAACCATCTGCACCGGGCTTGATTGAGAGGCTTACATGGCATTGACAAAAAAATGGTTATTACTAGATTGAGGTTTAGTATATTAACGAAGCGGGCAACGAAAAGACATCTGTCTTTACTATCGATGATCATTGTTTTTGTTGATGACATATGCTTGTAATGATTTGAAAAGATTATTCCTTAATGATGTATTTGAGCAAGGGATTGGGATAGATAATCTAGTTTAGATCAGACAACTGTTTTCACAATTTAGGAATTTAGTAAGAGGAAGGTCAGGCTAACAATGAACTTGTAAATGGAATTAAAATTTCCCTAAAAATTCGGTTAGATACCTGATTAACAGATAGACTTCTCTACCACTAGACCTGATGCATGTTGTGATCTGGTGTAAACAGTTAGTAAACACATTCTCCCATGACTAGTTGATATTGGCATTGCATATAGGATTTATGCTAGCTAATGCCCTTCACTTAGAAAGGTGATTTTTATATGCAAGGGAGGCTCACATGGTAGGTAATGGTGTTGCAGGATCCAAGGGGCTTACATGTCCATGGTAACCACAAGCATAAATTATTTCTTGAACAAGAAGTGTTTTGGTAATATTTTTGTATATTAGGAGTTTTGTACTATTTTGTGCTTAACAATGTGTTTTCTTATGAATTCGGTTGTGTTTTCTCTTTAGTTGAGTTGAGTTATTTTTGTTGTTTTGGGAGCCTTATTTTCAGGGAAAAAATCTTTTTATATTATTATTATTTTCATCTGTTAGAAGTCTTTTTGAAAGGTACTAATATTCTAAGAGTTATTCTTTGAGTTGGGTTAGAATTTTTTTCTAGGTCTGCAGTCTAGCTGAATGGTACCCTACTACCATTGTAATTTTGTATCTTAGCTGAGTGTTTAGTCCTATTTCATTATTATACTGATTGGGCAACTTTTAGAAGGTTTATGAGAGTGTATTGGTTTGAAATAGGTTTAGTCCTATTTCATTATTATTTCATTATTTAACATTTGTAAATAATCACATAAGATGTAGACAAGGTTTATGAGTTTATTGGTCTTTGGAAGTGTTTATTGTTTATGTAATTTGTCTATAGCTCTAAATTTGTTTTTTGCTGAAGATTTTTCCTGAAAGAATGTTTAGTTTGTTCTCCCGATATGCGTTAGGCATGTTGGGTATGTATTGTAAAATTTCAACTTTAAGGATTGCATTGAGAGAGAGAGAGATGTATGTTTAAGAGTAGAATTTTTTTTGGCCAATTTTAGGACTATGGGAAGCAGGCTAGTAGCTTTTGCTTGTGAGAGCGTTATATATGAAATGAGCAATATTTAAGGCCATGCACTGCATCTTTTGCTTTAAACAGAGACATCTTACCATTAAGGCCTTCCTTGATTGTGCAGATTCAAAAAATCATGAATTGCTCAATAAAGATGTATATTTAGTAAGATTGATTGTTAAAATTTTTTTGTTACAACTTATGACTACCTTGTTCTGAGCTTTAATTGATCTGTTATTTCGTCTTGTTTTAATTTTATTTTCCATTTAAATCTTCAGAGTTATGCATCAATTCTCTATCTCAGAATCCCTCCTGCTTTCCGAATTATTCTTCGTGGGAAAGATGTTGTGCACCACAATGTTGTAAATGATATGATGTTTACCCAGGAGGTTACGTATCGGCCGCAGCCTGGTACTGACGGGATTCCAAAGGATTCAAATGTAATGTGCCTGATTGAACATTTGATTTTTTTGCCTGGTTACTGTGATAATTTGTGCTTATTGGTCCTCTACCATTGTGGTAATCAGATGATTGCTGTCGTAACTATTGGATTTGTGAAGGATGCACAATCTCATATTGATGTTCAAGGATTCAATGTCTATCACAAGAATCGACTCATTAAGGTTTGGTTTCATGTTGTTCTGTAATCCATGTGATGCACTATCGACAATTTGTTTTTTTTTGGCTTATATGTTTATCTATAGTTACAATTCCTGGTGTGGATGTCTTAAATTGTGTTCTACTTCTCTTGCCCAGGTGACTATGCTTGATGTTGAAGGATTTATATATTAAAAAGTTACACCCTGTTTGACAGCTTAAGCTTTTGGAGTAGATGGTAGTTAACATGGTATTAGATCCAAAAGGTCTCGAGTTCAAACCTCACTGTCACCCTAATTAAAAATTGAAAAAGACGTGTTGGACCAAAAAGAAGGCCACACGTGAGGGGGCGTGTTGAAGGATTTATATATTAAAAAGTTACACCCTCTCTAACAACTTAAGCTTTTGGAGTAGATGTTAGTTAACACTTGATAATACTGATACTATGCATCCATGGTCCATTGCATTTTTCTTCTCTCTCTCTTATTTGATTAATTCAACTTCAACTGTTCAAATTCGCAACATGTTTAGACTTTCTAGTAGAATTATATGGTTATCTCTGCGAACAAACGTATGCTTATATAAGTCCTAATCTGTAACTAACTTGTCATGATAAATTTCATCTAATAATGATAGTTATCCCTGTTAAAATTTCTAAATGGGTAAATTACACTGACCTCCCTTGAGGTTTGGGCAAATACACTCGGGTAGACATTTCAATGTTTATTACTTTGACCTCCCGAGTTTTGGCATGTGAGATCGACATCCCTAGCAGTTTTTCTTTTTTTTGGGCATACCTGTTGACCAAAATTTATAAAATGACAATTTTGCCCTTCCCTTGTACAAAATGCAATATAATATATTAGTATAATATAAGGGCATTACAGACTTTTCTCATTCAAAGTCACTTTCCAGCTGCCGGCTAACAGGTTTAGGGGAGGTCATAAGTAATGAATGCTGAATGGTTTTTTACTTGTGTGTAATTTGCGCAGATCTTGGGAGGCTAATGTAATTTGCCCTTTCTAAATTACATGATCTTTCTTTATGTACTGTGAGTGGTATTGTTTCTCAGAATAGTGTAGAATAGGTTCTCTTTTTTGTATGGGAACCAATTCTGTAAAGGATGTGAACCTGTTGTGTTTAATCATGGAGAATATACAGGCATACTATGGTGGAGTATTACCATCATGTCTATGTGCCATTGATGTTGCTACAAATTCTGAAATTGTCTTACTCGAAAGTGTTCTTGTTCTGTCAGCCATTTTGGAGGCTTTGGAATGCTGCTGGAAGCAATGGTCGTGGAGTCATAGGTATTGTTTCTGAATTGATATTTTCCTGTTTCTTTTAGTTGGCTGACTTGACATAGCTCTTGATGCTCATTGTTTCTTCACCAGGTGTATTGGAAGCCAATTTTGTTGAACCAGCTCATGATAAACAAGGATTCGAGCGCACAACAGTTCTCTCAAGACTTGAGGCGCGGCTGGTACAAATGCAAAAGACATACTGGTTCGTTCATGCTGCCTTTGTCCTTTGGGCTATGTGAGTTTTAATCATTAATAATTGTTAAGTATGTTGTTTCATTCAGGTATACAAATTGTCATAAAATTGGTTATGTTGCTCCACATTGGAACAAGAAAAATATTGAAGACAAAGGTATTTAATGGGAATCATGATCTTCATTTTACATATATGCAGTGAATTTTAAGTGCAATGTGATGGATAGTGTTTGTGAAAATTCTTTATGAACTTGATATAGCCGTCTCTCACTTGTATATATACTGATTTTGTAGATAGTTCTCCTGATCATCTTCTTCAAACTTCATCTCAATCTAAAAATAAATATAGCGCCTCAAACAGCAAGAGGCCGATTCCAAATTCAGGTAAATCCTACTCAAGTTCAAATCAGAAGCTCGGAAGAGGAGAATCAGAAAGGTATCCCAAAACAGTCAACAAGAGTCGCGGGATTGAACACCTGTACATTAACGGGGATAATAGAACCAAGACTCCTACGAAGTCTGGAAAAGTACCAAGTTCATCAGAACCACCTTCGCCTTCTGGACAGGATGTTAGTGATGATGTCATGCAAACTGCCTCACCTGAGAGACAAGCAAATAGCATTCCTCAGAAGGCAAGAACGCCTGCTAAGAAGTCTTTTGTCAAAGGTGGATCTCATACAACTTGGGCATCTCTGGACTTGGGAAATACTGAAGCTGAGATTGTTTCTGCACCAGATGGAAGGCCTGTTCGAATTACCAGAAGTTTGCAGTCAAAGGTCTTTTCTAATCATCAAATGCTCCTGCCATTTAAATCAACAATGTTGATGGTTACCCCATGCCACCAATCTAAGGACGAGATATTTTTAGCTTACAAGAATATATTGTTGTGCCTCCATTTTACAATCATAACAATTTTATTCTGTTACACAATTGGATCTAGAGTTGGGTTTACATACATGTGCCTTTGTGCTACTTTGAGACTGCTTACAGTATTTTTCTTTAAATGGTGAAATTTTGCTAAAAGGGAAGAGAACCTTTCTTTCTATTTTGGACCAACTGTACCTTTTGGGACAAAATTTGGGTTGCTAAGAAACATTAATTTATAGAAAAAAGTAGCCAAAATATGAATGTTGAGATGGATGTGTCAAGACTAGAAAGGATAAAATATGAACACATTTGTAAGATGGTTGGAGTAGCATTCTTGGAAATGAAGTGTGAGATTCAATAGAGTGATTTCATCAACATTGAAGGTAATGCTACGATGGAAAAACCAAAACTAATATGAATTGAGATGGTAACGAAAGATCACCTTACTACTTTATGGGTTTGATTATGGACCTTTCCCATTTTATGTATGGTTCTGCTTAATCAACGAGGAGTTGGTAAATTTTTACCAAGGGCAGTTTAATTGTTTTTCCCGCCATCCCTGTAACCCTGTTATTTCTGAACTATATTCCATATGTTGGATCTGCTGTCTGATTGTAGATTTCCATCAGATGGCATCTAATGGATGAAGGCCTACCCTACTGGAATATACCATGATAATTAGTTGTTTTTTTTTTTTTAAATGGCATTGAATATAACTGTGTGTGTGTGTGTGTGTATGTGTGTGTGTCTATGGTCTCACTGTTGCTAAATGCTGGTAAGTTTAACATGCTGATATATGGATGTCAGCAATGATTGTTAGGTTGATTTGTGGTTGTATTGCTAATAGCTTTTCTTCATTTGGCAGCTAGATGGTGTCAGTGGAAATGGGTGCCCCCCTTCAGATTTCAATTCACAAATTTTAGATCAGTTGAAAGAGGAGAATCGTCAATTAAAGGAAAGGTAGGTTAATATCTCCATTTTTAGATATGAGTTTTAACCTCATGCATGTTCCCATTCTTATAATTGATTTTTCCCCCCCTAAATTTATAATTGATTTTCTTTTCTTTTTTGTTTCCATAGATTAAAAAGAAGGGAGGAAGATATTTTAGGTGACTTGCTGCGGGATTTACAGTATGAAAGAGAGAGATGTAGATTACTTGAAACTAAGGTTAGTGCTGTCTTATCTTTGGGCCTTTTCCTTTTATATTCAAGTAAATGTGGTGGCACGTGTGATGTTGGTGCTTTCTCCATGTATTATTATTATTATTATTATTTTAAATTGATAAATACTGTGCATGGGATTTTATGTTTTAATTGGGAGATACGGGGTGCAGTTGGAAGAATACAAGTTTTTGATGTCAAGTTTCTTCAAAATCTCCACCAAATTTTCTGTGATTCAATGGAATTGTTGGTGCTGTGATCAATATTCTCATCCTCTTGTGCGCAATAAGCAAAGGATTTGATATGGTATGGGGTTTGTGATGTTTGGGGGATTCATGACGACCTGAACAGTGATTTGTTTCACTAGAGTTATAAAAGTAGTGAAGACATGAGGAAACCCTAGAAATGTTTGGTAGGAATGTAGTGTGACGCATGAAAGAGAACTGAAATTGTTGAGAATCTCCATTTAATGGTGAAATGATGGTAGAGCTTGCAACTGAGTTATATGAGAATATCAGTGCCGAACTTCGAGCCGTTGTAAAATGACTTGCTGATTTTGGATTGGTAAGTTGTTTTTGTGAAAATACCAAACATAGAAAAATGCATAAGGTATTTTCTGGAAACGTCGCAAGTTGAAACAGAGCACGAAGCATCTTAATTATTTTGGCCTTCTAATTTTCAAATACACTTTGCAAATCATCTTAATAGGTTTGAGTGACGAAACCAAAGACCAAACCTAACCATGGTTTTGTGGTATTAGGTAACCATTCTGGAACCTGTCTGGTACAGAGTCTGAATGATGGTGCACTGTTTGTTCATACTAGATAGAAATATAAATGACTCACGAACAGTGTCGTGCACATTCATTGATCCTGGATAAATGGATGATCAACTGGGAAACCCTCATGGTTTCCAAAACAATATTCCACAGGAACTATATGGTGTAATGTGAAAGCTAGTGAGTAGTGAGTCATGTGACCTCATCATATTTGTCCCTAAATTCTTGGTACTGTTTTATCAGCTCCTGGAGGCAACACGGAAAGCCGAGGAACTGAACAAGGAACAAGAAAGTCTGGTAGATATATTCTCAGAGGAGAGGGAGCGGCGAGACAGTGAGGAGGAAACTTTACGAAAGAAATTAAAGGTTATTTTTTCCATTCCATTTTGCTAATTTACTTATTTATCTTGGAATCGGACGGTTCATGAAGTAAGAGAATTCGTCTTTTCTGCAGATTGCATCAAATACAATTCAAGAGTTGCTTGACAAAGTAAGGATCTTGGAGAAGAATTCCTAAGAACGCCAGTGGCATTATGGTTTTGTTATCTATGTACATGACGACGGAGACCAAATTTTTGTACGAGAAAGCAGTATTGTTGTATGTATATGATGTGTAGTGACAACTTAGAGTAGTTACTCTTGTTAATGCTGTATGTATTCCAAGTAGTTACTAATTCCTAGTAATGAATTTCCCGGTATCAGTTTATACTATTTTATTTTATTTTATTTTTATTTTTATTTTTATTTTATTTTATTTTTTTGGGTTAGGTAAAATACACACACACATCAACAAACTATTACCATGTTACTATGGGGCTGGAACTCCTCTCCTCTCCTCACCCCTCCTCTTAAAGAAAATGATCCAAAAACTCATTAACATATCATATTTTATTTTATTTTATTATACCAGAACTACCCTTTATATTTTAAACTTTAACATTTTAGTTCAGAACAATGGAAATGGATTGATGTCTTTATCCCTTGAAAAATAAATTATTTGTAAAGCCCGAATTAATTAAACTTTTCCAATATGTTGCTCTGCTTATACAATTCCAAAAGCCTAATCTAATATGTAGAAGCACATCATATTATATTGTTTTGTTAATATATATATATTCTGTTAATAAGTACAGAATTTTAACCTACAAAAACAAAATACGTACAGAATTTTCATATTCTCATTTATAGATTTTACCATCATATCTTGCCGCTGTAACTAAATAATCGTCTCACTAGAAAATAAATATATCTGAGTATAGCTGTAGGAATCGTATGAGCAGAACGACATGTTATATATGTATGGTGTATACGCACATATTTATTCAAGTAACTGGAAAAGATTAATCAATTATTGTTGTACAATAATTTCTTTTTCAAGAAATAAAGACATCAATCGATTTTCAATGTTCTGAATTAAAATATTAAAGCTTCAAAAATAAAGGGTAATGATGGTATAATAAAATAAAGAATGTTCTTAATGAGTTTTGGCATTTTTTGTCAAAATAATAATAATAATAATAATTAAAAAGAAAAGTGAAGTGCAAACTTAGAAAAGTAAAGTGCGAATACCGCCTCCCCCTTTATATAATAACTCTGCTCCTCCTCCTTTCTCTCTTTCATCTACTTTTGGAATACTAAAATTTATGATCCTTTGGTAGGATGGAAGGAAGAGAAGAATAGATAAATGAAACATTCTTAGGAAATAAATTGTGTCTTTCCTTCTTTTTGTTTGGTTGGATGAAAGAGAAGAGAATATGACAATATCTTATTTTGTTTGTTAGGAGGGAAGAAAAGAGAAAATGCTAATTATAATGAAAGTTTTGAAATTTAAAAACATTTATAATAGCCCTGTTTTCTTTCTTCATGTCTTCTTCTGCCCATATTTGGAGTAATAAAAATTTGTAAAAGATGACCCATCCATTATCTTTAATCTTCTCTCATTGCCCCCTCTCTACCAAACGAATTTTTTTTTTTTCTTTTTTATATATTGTCCCAAACTATTTTTATCCTTATTATCACTTTTTTTTTTTTTTTTTTCTTCCGTAAATAACCATACATATATAAAGCTTTCCTTTTCGACATTGGCTTGGGACAAACGAAGGAAAAGGAAACAACATAATCTAATTTGTTTCCAAATTATTTTTTTTCCTTATTATCACATTTTTTTTCATAAATAACTATACATATTTAAAGCTTTCCTCTTTGACATTGGCTTGGGACAAAGGAAGGAAAAGGAAACAACATAATCTTTATATTGTGGTATTCTTCCTTGCTTATGACATACGATTAGCACATGTATCAAATATTCTCTTTATCTATCAATTATTTTTAGAGAGTCGAAAAAGTTTTACATCTTGAGTCTTTGTCTTGAATCATCCACTAATTCGTCGGGTAAAACTACTTTAAGGTAACCCGAATAAATTTGTTATTATTGTTGTACTTGATTTCTCACAATTTTTCAACATGCTATAATTAATATAGTATTTGTTAAACATTTTTCAATCCCAAAACCTCAAATTCGTATTGAATGATTTTTAATAAATATTATTTAAGTTATACAGATAATTCAGAAAAAGGTTTTACATCGCGGGATTGACTGAGTCTTTGTCGTGTAGCATCCGCTAATTTATCGGATAAAACTACTTTAAGATAATCCAAATACGCTTTGGCAAGCCGTTGTTATTGCTGTACTTGATTTCTCACAATTTTTCAATACGCTATAGTTAATGGAGTGGTGATCTCAAAATTTATCCGCACTTTTTATTAAGACCATTAGATCTAATTTAACGATTAATATAGAAACCCACCTATATTCTTTCCTTTTAATACAAAACTACCATCATTATTTATAGTTTCTAAATTTAATATTTACCAAACTACTAATTACAACAATAAAAAGTAATTACTCAAAAATTATTTATAGAAATCTCTTCACCTCTAAAAATAACGTCTATTTCAAACAAAGACCTACAAGAGTACTATTTTCCCTTTCTCCATACAAATTAAATTTGCAAGTTTTCTACATCCTTTGTCTCCATATAATCATAAGTAAATAAAAATAAAATTTATTTTTTTCTGCACAACACTTCAGTCGCATAAAATTTAATGGATTAAAATATCTTTATTTATTTATTTTTTTTTTGTCTCTTGTAATTTTTTGTTTAAGAGAGACGTGATTTTCAGAGGTGAAGTGATTTCAAATTTTTTTTTAGTAATTACCTTTTATTATTGTAATTAGTAGTATTGGTAAATATTAAATTTAGAAACTATAAATAGTAACCATGGTTTTATATTAAAAGGAAATGATGTAAGTAGGTTTCTATAATTACCGTTCGATTAAATCTAATGGTCACTGTAGAAAGTACGGATCAATTTTCTTACTCCATAGGGAGCAAGAGATCATTACTCATAGTTAATGTATTTGTTAAATATTTTTCAATCCCAAAACCTCAAATTGGTATTGAATGATTTTTAATAAATATTATTTAAGTTATACAGATAATTCAAAATTGGAATGGATTCTATCCAATTATTTAAGTTATACAGGTAGTAAAATTTTACTTTCACTATTTTTACAACCACTTAAACATCATAATAAATAAAAATTAATGATATACTTCACGATAATCATGAAAGTCGTACATTCAAACTCAATCATCAAAATATATAATAAGATGATAAATTGATAAAATAATCAACAAAAACACTCAACACCACTTTTGGTAGCTAAAAATATTGTATCCCTGTGACAATGACCGTGTGTCACACGTTCGGTCCATGCGTGTGAGTTAATCCAATCATTTTCAGACATTCACCACAAACTAGAGTTAACCATGTCACGTGCGCATTTAACCATGGTTAGCCAGAGCTTTGATTTTAAGCCGCCATTAATGATGCTACATTCTTCAACATTCCACTTAGCAAAACACACACAGAGAGAAATTCATTTTAAAGCCCTAATTTTCTCTCTCTACAATTTCCAATTTTCTCTCTCTATATAGGCACGCTCGCGTCTCGGAGCTGATTTTTCACCTCCCTCGATCCTCTCCCTCTCTCTCTCTCTCTCCTGGATCGTGCGATCATCAAAGACGGAGATTAAAAAGGTGTGTGATCTCAAACATGCATTGTATCATGCCAACTTTTCTCTGATTCCACTGTTTTGTCATTTCTGGCTTTACGATTTCCTCTGCCATTTTTGTCTCTCTTTCTCTCTCTCTTTCTCTACTCAGAGAGCCATTGCTGTGCAAACTATAGTTTGTCGAATGCTTTTGCTCTTTTTCATGCTGTTTTTGATTGATCTGTGTTGACTCCATTTTTAAGTGCATTTATTTTTTGTTTGTCTTGTGCTTCGAAAGAATTTCTACTTTTGTTGCTATCGCTTCGTTTTCAGAAAAATTGTTAGTCGACGCTTTCCCGGAAAATGTAAGAAACTGCTGGAAAATTTTCCTTTATATCCTGATCAGACGTTTCAGATTTATGTTCCTATTCTTGTGATTTTTTTCCAAGTTGTTAATGTCGACATACATCGCCGTCGGTGTGGCTATTTTAGGGCAACTATGCTCGTGAGTTTCGAGTTTCAAGGAAATTGAAGTCAAATCTGAACCAGTTGATCTTTACCATTCGGCGGTAGTTTATTTTGACTGATTTGATGTATATCAATATATATATATGTGTGTGCATATATCTGTGTATATAGAATTTCCGTATACATTTAAACAATTATAATATATATATATATACTCATTGTGTGATGCAGATTTTGGTACGAGCTGAACACTATCAAGTCTTTTCATCTCGATCCCTGTTTCCAGTCAAATGCGCGAGTCTCTCTCTCTCCGTCTAATTCTCCAGATTCTCCAGTACTCTCTCTCGCTAGTCCCTGAATCTATGGCGGTGTAGGGTTTTGAAACGTAGAGGTCTAAGTTCCGAGTCAGCCTAGCTCTCCGATTCAACTCAGTGCTTTTTCACAGGTTGCTTTTTGGCGTTTCTTCTCTCTCCGGCTTAAATTTCAGATTCCGATGAACTCCGACTGTACCTTTTCACTAAGGCCACGAATCGCTTTGGTCACAGCGACATTTGCGATCGGACTACTGATGATAGAGTTTCATACAGGTTTGTGCGTTCATAAATAACACATATAGACACACACACACACACATGTATGTATGTGTATATATATATATTTCTTTTTGATTCATCGATTGATGTGAGATTTTGCCATTGATTTATAGTTTCAGCTCTGCGATTCGGTCATCGTTCCAGAGACGAGGTGATGTTTGAGGGAAGCAAAAACACAGTCTCAGCTCCGCATCGGAAGCTCCTCCGTCATGGTAAGTCGTTCCGTACATCTTGTTCAACCTTTGTCTTCATAGCCTTTAATTCTGGTTTTTATGCTTTAAAAAATCAAAAGCATCTTTAATTTTTGGCCTCTCTGTGATCGATCCACCACTTCCACACTGTGTGTCGGGCCTTCAGTCTCACTCCTCCGTCCTTTGCCGTTTCAGCGTTTTTTTTGGCTCAGTCGTTGCGTACGGTTCTGTTGTGCGCACCTGTTTCATTCTAACGTGCACCGTTTGTCTGTATTCAACTGTCCCACACATTCACACACACAGTTTGATCTCATTATTCTTGAATTTTTTTGAAACTACTTTTTTAATATAATAATTTTTAAATCAACTCATTTTAAGCACAAATAATGCTAGCATATTTTCATGTTAACTTGGTTCTGTGTATATTAG